GCTAGGAACTATACTCTCATTCTGGCATAATAATCAAGGACCTTTGCTTTACCATGACTGTAGCAGGCACAATGATATTATGGAGCACTGTTACCTATTATTATCTAAAAATGAAAATGTACTCAGCACTTACTCCGCCTCAGGTGGTTTCAAACATTTTGTGTTTCGTTTTTCATATTTTGAAGAAAGCTGTAAACCTGTAACTATTAACTATTAGGTTACAGGTTTGCAGCTTAATAAAGAAAGTGAAACATGTTTGGAACAAGTAATGGGTGAGTAAATATTGACAATTTCCATTTTGGGGTGAACTATCCTTTTTAACACCTCCAATTACTACAGGTTTACTCACTTTTTTTAAAAGTAAAGTGTAAGGCCCAGCCAGTTATTCCAACGATGGTGTCTACTGGTGGATGAAGGTTCATTGCGTGTTTGAGCTTTTGCACTGTCCTAATGACTGAATTAGTTTGATCAGGTGTGTTTAATTAGGATTGGAACTAAATTGTACAGAGCTGCGGCCCTCCAGGAACTAATTTTGACACCGGTGAATTAGAACAATCTTAAAATAGCAATTTACTATTCAGGTAAATGTGTATTATGCCAAATTGTTCAGTCAATTTATAATGCAATGCAAGACAGCAAATTTTCAGATACATCCAAGATCAAACGATGCATACCTGACCTTCAATAACATGCATAGTACAGGGTGTGAGAGCTCTATACTATACTGTACAAGCTAATCTGTTTACAGAATTGTTCCAAACTTCTTGACACTTTTCCTTAAACAGTAAGGGGTGTGTGAAGCAAAGATAGACATTTGCATTAAGTGACATGTTAAATCCCATATGTTACTACCTATAGACAACAAATCATTTGTTCTCTAAATGGTAATTTAAATAGAAGCCCTCCAGATAGGAGCACACCCTTAGCAGTAAGTCAATAGATACCAGAAGTTATAAATCTATTATTTTGATTATGTCCATTTGTGAGTAAATGATACCGTTGTACCAGTTGCATTGAGGCATTTCAAGTGATATCAAACATGATGGATAAAGCCACTTGCATTAATATCGAACATTAATACTTTGATTCATTCTTTGTGAGTTGGGTGAGGAGTGTGTGGGTGAAGGGAAGGCAGTGCGGGAGAGAAACGAAGGAATGAGCTTTTCCTGCATTCTCACTCCATAGTGTGCAGGCAAATGTCTCTGTGTTTATACACTCTGTTTGTATTATTCACATGTGAATGCAGCAAAGTATCTGAGATTTCTTAAATCTTAGAAAAGTAAATTATAAATTATTTATAGTCTAAATTCCCAACTTCTTTTTTGTCTTATCAAATAGGCCTGATTCAGAATAACCATGTTCAGAATAAACCATAAGCCGCTGGCTGCAGTTCGTTTAACAGCCACAGATATCGCTAATAACAACACTTTCTACTACATTCTATCCAACATTTATGAACATATTTTTGCAATATAATATTTTCTCACTATGGTCAGCTTCCTCATTCTCAGGTTTAGACACAAACATAAACTGATTTATGTGCCTATTCCACATCTTTACTACATCTTGAAACCTGAATTGCAAAGTATTTTGCACTTCTTACTGGCTTGCTAAAATGGACTGAAATGACACGTTAGTGTGGAGGTGAGCATACTGAGGCTGTAATACTTAATGGCTTGTCAGATTTATTAGCTTGCCAGCTATTGTAATATCCTGCTGTCTCTCCGCATGAGCCTCAATAGCAGCACATCCTGTCAAGTGTCTTTCTCCAGAGCCGCAGAACCTTAGTGAGAGCTTCCTGTTGCAAAGCTGGAGCTTTCCATTCTGTATTTCATCACTGTGCTTATGAATGTTTTAATGAAAAGTGAAAATCTGAGCTACTCGTTTTTCTTACTTTAGGAGATAGTTCATCCAAAAATGAAAATCTGCTGTTAATCTGCTGATCCTCAGGCTATCCAAGATTTAGTAGACATTTTGTTCTGTAGTAGAACATTAAGGAAGATTTTGAATTAAACTGTGGTTTATAGTGGTTCATAAAATCCGAGTCAGCATATTGGCAGAGTTTTAACATATAATTCTCATCCACATTACAACTCTTGTCCTTGTATAAACTTACCGGCCACTTTATTAGGGTGTCCTTACTAGTACTGGGTTGGACCCTCTTTTGCCTTCAGAATTGCCTTAATCCTTTGTGGCATATATTCCACAAGGTACTGGAAATATTCTTCAGAGATTTTGGTCCATATTGACATGATAGCATCATGCAGTTGCTGCAGATTTGTCAGCTGCACATCCATGATGTGAATCTCCTCTTACATCACATCCCAAAGGTGCTCTGTTGGATTGAGATCTGGTGACTGTGAAGGCCATTTGAGTACAGTTCACTCATTCTTCTTCATTCTGATACTTGGTTTCAACTGCAACAGATGGTCTTGATCATGTTTACATGCCTAAATGCTAAATTAATTGCTGCCACATGATTTGCTGATTAAAAATTTGCATTAACGAGTAATTGAACAGGTGTACCTAATAACGTGATGGTTGATGAATTATGAGATATGCCCTTGTAAATGAGAAAGTCAAGAAAAAATTCAAATGGAAATGTATGGAATCATCATCATCATCATCATCATCATCATCATCATCATCATTCTTCTTCTTCTTCTTCTTCTTATTATTATTATTATTATTATTATTATTATTATTATTATTATCAGATTGAGTATATTATAGTTATCATGTTTTCCTGCCCACCTCTTGATCTATTATTATTATTATTATTATTATTATTAATAATAATAATAATAATAATAATAATAATAATAATAATAATAATAATAATAATAATAATAATAATAATAATTCATCACGTCATACTAATAGTTAAATTCTTTTTAATATTATTATTTACTTTGGGTTTTTATTATTCGTATGTTATCATTATTATAGTTTTTTTATTATTATTTTCATTGTTTTGTTTGCTGCACACTATTTTTCGACTCCCTTTTCTTCCGTTCCTTTTTGTCTACTCTTCCCCTTTTTTCTCTCTTTTCTCTTCTTTTATTTCCTCTCTTTCCTCTTTTACTTACTATTATCATTATTATTATTATTATTATTATTATTATTATTATTATCTTTATTTGTCCTCTTCCTGATTTCCCAACCTCCACTCACCTCCTTACTATCATCTATAATAGTATTACTTTTGCTTTTGTTATCATAATTTTTATTACTGTTCTGACTTGTCCTCCTGTTATCTCCTCATTATTATTATTATAAGCATTTCTACCATTGTCATTATTCTGTAGTTGTTGTAGTAGTAGAAGTTGTTGAAGTAGTAGTAGTAGTAGAAGTAATAGTAGTAGTAGTAGTCAGTGTAGTAGTAACAATTGTAGTTGTAGTTGAGATAGTAGAATAGAAGTAGTAGTTGTAGTAGTTTCTGTAGTAGATGTTGTTGGTATAGTGGTATCAGAAGTTTTAAAGGTGTTGTTGTTGTTGTATCAGTAGTAGTAGTAGTAGTAGACGTTATTGTAGTATCAGTTGTAGTAAACGTTGTAGTAGACGCTGTAGTAGTAGTCATTGTTGTAGTAGTGTCAGTAGTAGTAGATGTTGGTGTAGTAGACGCTGTAGCAGTAAACATTGTAATAGTAGTAGTATTTGTGATTGTTGTAGTAGCAGCAGTAGTAGCTATAATATGAGTAACTTTTGTAGTAGTAGTTGGTGTAGTAATTGTGATTTATTATTATTGTTGTTGTCAGTTATTATTACTGTTGTCCTTTCTTGTTACTGTCATTATTACTATCATATATTACAAGCATTGTTGTCACTCCTTTTAAAAAAAAAGAAGAATGGGAAAATGGGATGTACCAAAGCATTTGCAGCTTGTTCAAAGAAATGAGAAACTGCTTTTTTAATAATGTTATAACGATGTGAAGAATAAATCGGTAGTTTTGAGAATTTTAATTCTGATCTGTGATCTGAGAAAAACTATAAAAGAATAAACTGTAAATAATTAAATACTAGTTCAAGTTAAAATACAGTAAAAATACTGTATGCTAATATCTAAAAAAGTAAACACTATCACTATCAGTACTATCAGTACTATCAGTAGCATTATTAACAATATTACCATTAATCCACATTTTTGAGTGAAGTTTGACTTCAAAAAATTTTAATATATTTTTTTATATATTAAAGTTTAATATTATCACATTTGTATCTTTATCTTTATCTATAAGTATATGATTGCTACAGTATCAGATTGCTACAGTATTCACTGTACTGTTTGATTAGGGAACGCTGAATGATTTAGTGGCATATTAACATGTAACCGACTGCAACCGCACTGTACCTAATGACTGTTTGTTCTCTAACCCGACAGCTTTGCAAATAAGGCATTAAGCCGCTGCGCCACAGTTTCATTTACATTCTCCTGAAAAATCGATCTTGTGGGCTCGGGTAATTAAAGGGATGGAGCTCATAAACGCCCTCTGGATATGAGTAATAAAAATCAACTTTCAATAGTGAACATGAGTTACGGTCCTCATGACAGTTTTCCTCAGATGTCCTTCGAGTTTCTTGCAGTTAATTGTGTTATGTCCTCTTATTAAATGCCATGCGAAACTCTTCAGACTGATCAATGCACTTTTTCTCCTCAGTTACAAAGACTGTATTGATTTTTTTCTCTGCTGTTTATATCTAAGCATCGAACTGCAAAATGAATTTTAATGTAGCATTTGAAAAGTGAACATGGTTCATTAAAAAAAACCCAAACCAAAATAAACATCATCAAGATCCCTGAGGTTTTGGAATTCAAAGTTGATCGAAAACTCAATAGATTCTATGTTAAAAAAAAACAACAACAGAACAATACAATAAAATTATGCAATGTAACAGCAGTTAATATACAAATTTAATTGAGCAAAACTGAAACACAAATGCATTTTGTTCTGAGTTTGAGTTTGGTTGAGTAACTCCTGCTGTGTGATTTGTGTCTGCAGTTTGACATGCAGCGAATAACACTGGAGGAGCTGAAGCACATCCTTTTCCATGCCTTCCGAGACCACCTGACGATGAAGGACATCGAGAACATCATCATCAATGAGGAGGAGAGTCTGAACGAGAACTCCGGCAACTGTCAGACAGAGTTTGAGGGAGGTGAGCGTCAGCACTGCTTCTTTTACTTTAGCGTGTGTGTGCGAGTGTGTGTCAGTGGTGCTGGAGTTATTTTATTGTACACTGGGTTATGATGTCATCATATATGGAAGTTTCTGATATATGGAGTTCATGAATACTAATTTACCCATCATGAAAGGTCTCAAACTCCTTGACTACCCAGTCATACTGCATAATTTAACTGTTTAAATTCAGTTAAAATACAGTTTACAGTTTTACAAGGTGAGAGCTCAGTACTATTTGTACGGAGCCAGAGTCTTAAAAAATATTATATTTACAAAATAAATTTATGAATGCACAGCACAACTCACATTTACAAAATACAGTTTGTAATTTCAAAACACAATTCATAAATTCAACACACAATCTGTGAATTCACAAGTAAAAATCATAAATATTTTTGCCAAATTATTTGGATTTTTGTATTAAGAATCACATTTTGAATTGACGAATTTGAATTGTGTATTTGTGAAGCGCATTTTGAATTAACAAATTTGGTTTGTGTATTTGTGAATTGTGTTTTGAATTCACAAACTGGATTTGGTTATTTTTGAATCGCGTTTTAAATTTACAAATTGGATTTGCATATGTATGAATTGTGTTTTGAATTCACAAATTAAATTTGTGTATTTGTGAATAATGTTTTGAATTCATGAACTGGATTTGGTTATTTTTCAATCGCGTTTTGAATTTACGAGTTAAATTTGCATATTCATGTATTGTGTTTTGAATTCACAAATTGGATTTGTGTATTTATGAATTTACGAATTGAATTAACATATTTATGAGTTGTTTTGAATTCACAAATTGGATTTGTGTACTTCTGTTGTGGAAGGATGAATTATATTTTGTAAATGTAATATTTTTGAGACTGATCTGGCACCATATATTTCAAGTTGTCACAAGTTACAAATATTCTAAAGCACAATATTGTTAAAAATTTAATTACAAGACCAACTCAATTTAGCAAACAGCAATGATTGCAAAGATAATGATTAGAAAGATTACATCTGAAACCTTTCACACACACATCACTAGGCACTTTTGCCTTTCTTGCTCTTCTTCAGTCTTTTCCGTTGTTCTCTGGTTGTAGAGTTTCTTTGATATACCTCAACCCCCCAATGGATTGTCCAGAGATGTTCAATCAGGTTTGGATCAGGACTCTGGGCTGCCATTTTATTATTCTAATGTTTGTTTTCAGCTTGAAGGAGCTACTTTAGCGTTTTCTGTGTAACAAGGGCCTAATTGTCCCAAGTAAATATCCCTGCAGCCCAGAGACCTCCAAGTGGGAGGGACTTACACCACAAGTGGAATGGGTTGAGACTTGGTGTAGTAAACATTAATAAAGTACAACTTTTACTCTGTTGTGCTAGATGTAGACTATACCTACCAACACTCCCATTTTTCCTGCGAGTCTCCTGTATTTCACACCCGTAACTACCACCACTCTGCCGTTTTGTTATTTCTCCCGGAAAACTCCCATCATTCCAATACCCCCAACCCTCAGTCTCCAAAACCCAGAGGTTGCCAACTTAGGTATAGTTTCCGATTGCCGCTTCCGCCTGCAACCTGGTCCTTGGTAGAGTTATTACTTAGTTACTTAGTTCCCCTTCGGTTGGGGAACTTCAGTGCCATAGAGTGGATTGATTGAATCCACGAAATGGGAGGATTCGGTTCAGAAGCCGCTTGTCTGAAAGAGTATTGAACGGGCCAATGAATGCAATGAATTGGCAGCGTAAGCTTGCACAGGTGTACTTCATTGCCAATTATCCCAGCATATAAGCACACCTGGAGCGAGCAGACGCCATCCTTTTCGCTTCAGAGACTTTCTGATCAAGTTGATGAGGGTTCCTCCTGCTGTGACCAGCGATTCTGAGCGAACGAGAGCATTCTCCCGGTCCAGAGTGTGTACACGCAGCGGCAGACGGTCGAGCTGGGTTTCTCCCTTGCCTGGCGTTCTTTGGGTCCGGTCCTCCAGAGCGGTGCGTATAAAGTTGCAAACTTCACAGAAAGAGCAACACAGTCGTGCAGCACGTCCTTTTCAGGACGGCGCTCCGACTGTGCGTTTCTGGATGCGGTGGTTTCCTGTCCTCGGATGATGGGCACGAGCACTGCGTTGCATGTCTGGGGGGTCCAGCATGTTAATGCGCTGCTCGCGGGCAGTTCATGTCGTCATTGCGATGCCATGACTGTTGCGCAGTAAAGATCGCGGCTAGCCTTTGCAAAAGGGCGAACCACCCCAGTTGTCCCCTGCTCTGCAGCGGGCACTCTGGCAGATCTGAGGGTTTCAGCGAGAGATAATCCGTCGCCCACGGGCCCGCGGACCTCCCGCTCCTCTAAGCACTCCATCCAAGCTTCGGGCGGGGGAAGCGATCCGTCTAACAGATGGTAGCCCTTACGCCCGATGACACCGGAGACCAGACGTCCACCGCGGCATCGGAGGGTGGGCTTTCATTGTCCGATGATGATCCAGACCCGCTCGCCCCCTTCGGGCTGGTGAGCGCTGTCACTACGGATCCTGAAACGGACATGTTAGCCGTGCTTTCCCGGGCTGCTTCGGCCGTGGGTTGGAGATGGTTTATCCCCCAGCTCCGCGGCCGGACCGACTAGAGGGGCGTTCCCTTCTTCCCGGAGGTGCACAGTAGGCTCACGCGGTCTTGTAAAGCACTTTTTTCTGCTCGTGCTGCGTGTCCCTCCACCCTAACCACTCTTGACGGTGGAACAGCCAGGGGGTATGTGGCGATTCCTCAGGTTGAGTGCGCGATGGCGGTAAATTCACGCGGCGCCTCTTCTTGGCGGGGTCCGCCTCGTCTCCCATCCAAAACCTGTAAGTTATCTACCTCCCTTGGAGCTAGAGCTTACATAGCTGCGGGCCAGGCTGCTTCCGCCTTGCATGCGATAGCCACCTACCAGCGCTACCTAGCGCAGGCGCTGGCCGAGCTGCACGAGGGTGGGTCCAACCCAGGCTTACGAGCTTCGCACCGCCGCCGACTTAGCTCTTCGGACTACTGAGTCCGCTGCGTGTGCGTTGGGGAGGACGATGTCCACATTAGTGATCCAGGAGCGCCAACCCTGGCTGATATGCGCGAAGTCGACAAAGTCCGCTTTCTTGACTTTCCCCATATCCCAAGCCATGTTCGGCGACACCGTCTGTGAATTCACCCAGGAATTCAAGGCGGTGAGAGAGCAGTTGGTGGGTGATGTCTTATCGGCGGTCCGTAGCCCGCTCCGCCCGCCGTGCCATTCATACCTGCTCCTCGCCGAAGGCGCCCGCCTACGAGAGCTGCTCCGCACACGCCTCTGGCGAAGCGAGCGCGTCGGGCACCTCGGAAGCAGGCAGCCCCCCTGCCCAGAACGCCGCTAAGTCTGGCAACGGACCGCGAAGCGTCCCTGGGACAGGCCATCTGGAGAAGAGGGAACTTGCTCTTTCCCCGCTGGAGGGCGGGGCCCCATTTCCAACGGCACTTTTTACTGCCATGAAAACATTATGAAAGGGCACTTTTCACTTCCCCCAGATGTGACAGCCCGAAATCTGCCAGTCTGGGACGCTATGCTTTCTAGCTTGCAGATTCGGTGCGTTTCGCCAGTGGCTCACGAGCGCTGGGAGGACGGTCTCCTTTCTCCCACCCCTCGAGCCTCCCCTCCGGAGCTTGGGTTCGGAGTGAGAGCAAATATCTCACCTCCAGCTTTTCCGTGGGACCCGCGAGCTTCCCGGATCAGCAAACCCACTCCGCGCTGCCCCACTGCTGGTACGTCAGCGATTATAGCGATGAGTCCATTAGCAGGAGCTCTGCCTGCCTGGTTAGCGCGGGCCAGCTCTTCGCGGTGGCTCATACGCACAATCAGACTCGGCTATGCGATTCAGTTCGCGAAACGGCCCCCCAAGTCGCGGGTGTGTATTCACCAGGGTCAGCCCCCTGTCCGCCCCTGTCTTGCGAGAGGAGATTGCTGTCCTCCTGGCGAAGGATGCAATCGAGCCGCTCCCTCCAGCCGAGATGGAGAGCGGGTTTTACAGCCCACACTTCATCGTGCCCAAAAAGAGCGGTGGGTCACGGCCAATCCTAGATCTGCGCGTTTTGAACCGCTGCCTGCACAAGCTGCCGTTCAGAATGCTCACGCAGAAGCGCATCCTCCAGTGCGTTCGTCCTCTGGGTTGGTCTGCAGCATTAGACCTGATGGACGCGTATTTCCATGTCTCCACTCTTCCTCGCCACCGTCAGTTTCTGCGGTTTGCGTTTGAAGGTCGAGCTTGGCAATACAAAGCCCTCCCCTTCGGGCTCTCTCTGTCTCCGCGGGTCCTCACCAAGCCCGCGGAGGGTGCCTCAGCGCCCCTTCGGCTCGCGGGCATCTGCATACTCGATTTCTTTACGACTGGCTGATTTTTGCCCTCTCTCGGAGCAATTGATTATGCACAGAGACAAAGTGCTCTGGCACTTCCACCTGTGGGGGTTTCAGGTCAACCGAGAAAAGAGCAAACTCGCCCCCGTGCAGAGGATCTCTTCTCTCGGGCTGGAGCTGGACTCGGTCACCATGGCAGAGCGCCTCTCCGGAGAGCGCGCTCAGCTGATGCTGTACTGTCTGAGAGAGCTCGACAGTAAAATAGTGGTCCCACTGAAACTATTTCAGAGGCTCCTGGGGCATATGGCATCCGCAGCCGCTTCATGCCGCTCGGATTATTCTATATGAGACCACTTCAGCACTGGCTTCACGATCGAGTCCCCAGACGCGCATGGCACGCGCGCGCACACCGAGTCTCTTTTACTGCGCTGTGTCGCCGCGCTCTCAGCCCTTGGAGCGACCCCTCGTTCCTACAGGCCTGGGTGTCTCTAGAACAGGCGGCCAGTCTTGTTGTCGTTTCAGCAGACGCTTCCAACACGGGCTGGGGGGCTGTGCGTTGCGGGCATGCGGCTGCGGACCTGTGGAAAGGTACCCAGTTGCATTGGCATATCGCCTGGAGCTGTTGGCAGTGTTCCTCGCTCTCC